GCTGCTGCAGGGGGCACTTCCAGCACAATGTACTGAGATCCCTATATATTATATATGCAGTGTGTTTAAAGACTGAACTTTTGGGTGGTATCCACATAGTTGACTTTTGTGAATTCTGTCTTTTATATAACTACACACCTGCAGAAATACACTTTTCAAAGACTGTATATAAAAATATTAGAGCCCAACCTAAACCTTACTGAAGTGGACAAATCTTTTCAATGGTTTTAATGGAAATTAAGATCTGTAGTGATCAAGGTCAGTTTTCTGTGAAGTGTACAAACATGCTATTCAGTGAGGAGTCATTCCATGCTTCATTTTAACTGCCTGTTTCCAGCCACTTTGGTGCTATAGGTGTTCAAAAGAGGTTGTGAGAATTTTTCTAAGAAGTATTTCCTTCCCACATTAATCATATTTAAAAAAGCTGCATTGCTATTGCTTATATTTGGTGGTGATGGGTATGTGTGTGGGGGGAGGGAACATTACAAGGCAAACCATACTGGAAAGTTTCAGTAGCGATAAATGACTAATCAGTGTCTGAATGGAAACCATAATTTAACTATACTGGTTCCTGATGGCCCTGGCTATAGTACCAAAGTACAATTTTACAATACTCAGACCTAACCAACTTCCTTAGAATTGGAGTCAATACCTTGCTTGCTACCTTTAAGTCAGCAACAGTAAGCCTGATAAAGAACCCTAAATTGATACCACTTATGATGACAGTACTTGACAACCTTAACTGTGCTGGTGTACTCAGGAGTGAAAAAGTAGCCCTGGACAACATCTTTACACTCATTAACTCATTTTAAGAGTGGCAAGGTATGCACCCCTTTCAGCATGATGGATGTAGGAGCAAAGCTAATGGAGACCTTCTGCCTATAAGGTGGGCTTACATTAGTTTATAATAAATGATGCAAGATTATTCCAATTCAATACTGCACACATATAATTATTGACTCAGATAAACTCCCCTGAGCAGCCTCACTTGATTTGCAGCACTTTTATTTAAATTAAAAAAATAAAAAAGGAATGTGCTGAATTCAGCATAAGGAAATTCATCAAGGATGAAAACTAAAAATTAGGGGATGATTCCACTGGTTTTAAAAACCTGAATGAAATAACCAAAATGTTTAGGGTTGTCTTTCTTAATCAAAAGTTGTATCTGCTATTTTGTGTGTGTAACTGCCAGGCACCAACTTAATCCAGTTGCCTAACAAAACATGAGCAAAAATGCAATTATCTAGTAAACAAGCAGTATATCATTCACGGTTTCTTAACATGCTAAAAATATAAGGATCTGAAAATATGAATCTATAATTGTTTAAATAAATATATATAGTGATAGGTACCCAACACAGATGACAAAAAAAAAAAAAAAAAAAAAAAGCTCCATTTGGCTGCCCATTTACATGTCTGATGGCACATTCTTATTGTTTGGTATAACCTTGCTTTAAAAAAAAAAAATAAGAGGACAAATGGAAAAATAAATTTAAAATTGGTTATTTAAGCAAGTTTTTCCACAAGCTAGAACCTTTTCTGACCCATTTTTCCAAGGAAAGACTGAAACAAAGGGAGGTCAAGTTATGCTTGACCAAGGTCACCCTAGGTCATTAACTGAAATCAGAATACAGAGTTTTCCTCCTCCTGTGGTACAAGCTGTACCAGGGAAAGGCCCAATAGTTGATCAAAACAAAACAAAAACTTGCACTGCCCATGCCCAGTACTTTCTGGGAAAAACAACTTGCAAAATATTTTGGTTATGGACTTTAGTGAACACAGGTGAACACTCTTACTAGTAGTCTTGGCAGAGGCCTGTAACAGGGCAAAGAGATAATTACTTCATTACCTCTACAAAAAGTTCAAATGAAACAGAGCTAAGGTTTCAAGGTGGGGAAAGCAGGGGAAGCTTTAAGTGACAGTATCACTGGCTTTCAATGACACTTCCACTATGAGTCTTCTGGATAGACAGTATTTGAAATGCCTGATTATTAATACAATATCTTTTATGGGCACCAAATTCATGTTAGCAATTCTCTCTCTCTCAATGTAAAAACTTCTAATAATTCCATGTACTATTTCTTCTATACTTTTTAAAGCACACAAGAAATGACAATCTTTCACTAAATGCAGATAAGTTTGCAAGAAAGCTGAAGTATTCAGTATATTATTCACTAAGTGTATGCCAATGCTGTTTGACTGCAGGAGATTATGAAAGTTCTCATTTTTTGTGTGCCAATACCAAAAAGAGGAATTAGTTTGTTTACTGGTTGCAAGACTATGTGCAAAAAAAATCTCATATATATCAGTCAGATCTTTGATTATTTTATATCCTTTTTGTAAGCCAGAGATTGATCATGTCACTGCAGCTCTTGGACAAAGTTTCAAACACTGAGCGCAATTCAAGCGTCTCAGGCATTCTCTGATGCATGTAAAAATAATACATTAGTGATATCAAGTGGCATCACATTTAAGGTCTCTAAGATGCCACAGGGGAAAAGGTCAAGTTAAAGTTTAATTTTTTCTTCGGTTATTTCTTCAGCTTGCGTTTGGAGAACAAGAAACAAGTTGGGGGGGGAGGACACCAAAAATTAAAAAGAAAAAGAGGAAAGCAATGAGGTTATTAATCATCATTTATAAATAGCCTTAAATCTACAAAAAAAAGAATATATGTCACAGTCTCAGAGAACATCAATCTAACAAACACAAGACTGTGAAGGCAAGATATGGGGTAGTATTTCAAGTAATGGAAATTAAAAAGGGATTACTGGAAGCAGAACAAAGTATGAAAGAGTCCAGAATGAGGTCAGCAGGGTTTATTAGGTTGCGGCGCCGTACAGTACTTAGTAGAGAGATGGGGGAGTCTCTAAAGCAAAGGAGGCAATCTGTTTGAAGGCCTTAGGCAAAGAGGAAATAAAAGAAAAAGGAATAGGAATGATGAGCAGACAGAGTATAAGCAGAAATTAATAAAATGATGGAGGGGTGATATAATGTATGGCCTTGAAAGATGAGAACAGGTGCTTGAATTTGATGCAACGAACCAGGGCTGTCCAACTAGTGGCTTGCCATGGGTTTAACTGCATCCCTCAGATTCCTGCCCTACTGCTGCTCCTCTGAAATCAGCCAGAGTCTCTGGGCTCCCCTTCCCTCCTGCTCCAGGAGGTGGGGCAATGCAACAGCATGGGGAGCTGAGGGTGAGCCTGGGAAGTGCAGTGCAGTGGGGGACGGAAGGGTGGGCAGTGGGTGCCCGTGAGGGCATGTGGCTTGCCTTGGTGTGGCCTGCGCTGTGTGCAGCTGCCACTGGGGTGGACCATGGAGTGCATGGCCCCTGAGGCTTGGAAGCTGGACAGCAATAAGCAATAAGATGACCAGGAGGGGTTAAAGAAATAAAAATGAGAGGACAGCCAAGAGAAAAAGTCACATTGTTTAAAATATGACAACCAAGGTGTAGGGAGACAGCTTCTGAAGTAGGACTACAACACAAAAGGTAGATGTCTGTGACTAATAAGGGAAGCAGCACAAGGACTTGGCATGAGACTGCACACAGTGGAAGGAGAATGGTAACAAATCAAAATATGGGAAATTGTTTGAAGTGGGGACAATGGATGAACAGCAGATCTGGGTCAAAGGCCACAGGAGAGAGAGGAAAAAAAGAAGTTAGGAGGAAATTAAGACATTAGGAAAATACAACTATGAAACACGTGCGAAATAACAGCAGGACATCCAATCTGAGAAGACCGAAGCTACTAGACTGACTCTTCTAGCCAAGACAATCCAATTCAGGACTTGATGGGAAATGGGAGAGGAGGTGGTTTTCTAGAGTTGTAAGACACAGAACCCCTTTTAAGATATCTTTTAAGGGCCTGACAGGACTAAGTACAAGCTACTGAAACTGTCTACTTCATTTTATCTACTAAACATCTGTAAGTGTCGTATCTCTTGCTGGCAGTGCCAACCACATAAGTACTGCTAAACAACAGGCACTGCTGATTTCGCACCCCCCATTGCCTTGAATCTAAGCAGCAGCACTGTTCTAACCGTCTTAACTCTGCTTCTGGGAGCCCACGCTATAATGAACACCTACCTCCTTTCCCTAACATATGAAAGGGTTAGCACTTTTGCAGCTAATTACTGGGGGCTTCCTTCCCAGCCCCAAACTGTGCCAAACATCGAGCAGCAACAGCTTAAGTGCCACATGTTAAACATTATTACAGTGATTGGTTCCGTATCGTAATCTGTGGACAGCCAGTTAAAAGCTTCAGAAGTGTAAAAAGTTCTATAAAATCACCATGCCATGCAGATAGATACAGTATTAGATGATCAAAAGCCTGAAAGTTCCATCAAACATAAAAAAGAAGGGCAAGGGAAAGGTAACTCTTCAGCCTTAAGAATACCACAAACAAAGTTAGCCAAACATAAATACCTGTAACCTTTTTATCAACTGGCAAGTCTAACTGTTGCCCTCCCCCCCAAAATATTTAACACAGCAACTTTAAAAAGAAAGCAAACTTCAAAACCAATATTAGAGCGAAACAGACCAATTAGGATCGTGGCACCGACTTTGAATTGAAAAAATTAAACTTGCAACACAGAATTTCTTCCAAACAAAATGTAGTTCAGCCCTCATATCCAGTTAGTAAACATATTACTACAACGAAGCTTAAGGAAGAAAAAAAAGCCAGCATGTGTGCATGCACACACAGACACAAAATAAAATGCTAAGCCTCCCAGGCTTTTTGTTAGTTGGCTTGAAAGTAAATGTAGGTTGTCTGTGGAGAGAGAATGCTGCTTCAGCAGTTGAGAACGAATTTCAAGCCTGTGTTCTATTTTATCTTTTGTAAGTGTAATCTATTCAAGGCAATAGTGAACTGACAATTTAAATAACTACATTTTAAAACAAACGAAGCATTGATGTTAATGTGTGAAAATGGTCCCAACCCCTAGGAGTCTTGGTTCCCACCATTGTTTACTTTGACAACAGGATATAATTGCTTACTTACTTGGCAGCAAACTTTACCATCTGCTTGCTTGCATGGTCTCCCACAGCCACAAGAGCCTGGACATTAAACTGCTGCTGACGTAGGACTAAGAAACACTGCTTCCCTGAACAAAGAGAGAAACAATGCAGGTGTATTAAGGACAAGTTACTCAGAATCTTTGTGAATGAGAAAAATGTTTTACTACTTTAAAATTAAGCCTAAGTTTAACACACAAACAACACAAAGTACATTTATATGCACGTTCATCCAACACTGCAATTATAAGCCAGAATGATCTTCTCCAAGGCGTAAACAGGTGCTTTTGATGTTTAAAAAAAAAAAATCTGCTTCTAAAACAAGATGACCAAGATAACTGGTATGGACTGATTTTTGATAAAAGTACAATTTTGTAATGTTCTGACATTTTAAAAGTTTGTTCTTTATAAGAAGTCCAACTGTTACTGCTGCAAGTTGTGTATTGAGACTGCTTCTAAATTCTCTAAATTTTTAAATGCAAGAGATGTAGTTATACCTATTTACTTGAATAGAAAACAACCCTGACTATAAAGATGACCCCCCAATACATTTTCTGCATACAGAATGTAAAAGTATACGTTTGTTATAATTTCCAGATATAAATCTAATAATTAGATTTGTCTCCTCCCTCTGCCCCACCAACTTCTTCTGTCTGCACCTTACCCCCTCCTTACTGTTACACCCTTTCCCCATAGCACATAAAAATGAGGATCTAATATGAAAATACCGATCTGAAAACTTACCTTTAGTAATTTGCATATAGTACCCATATACTTAGTGTATCCAGAATTGATGCATTGTACCTTTTTTTGAAACTGCTGCAAGTTTTAGCACAGGTGCTCCAGAAACACACTTTTAACCTACTTGTAAACAGCACAAGCTATACATGGTCTTAGTGCAAAATCAAGAAGCTAATGATTCACCCTAGAGCTCACTGGGCTGGGCACCACTCAAAATCAACAGCATTTCAAGCCATGGTGACACCACAGCTCAACATTGCTCATTATGCATGTGTACTCCGGATATACCCCACAAAGGATCAACATGTTAATTAGCCCCACTCATGACAGGAACCAAGTCTTCTTACCATGAGTCCTGGGAGCCTCCAAAAATGTATACGCAGATAAGGTGCAGGGATACCTGGTCCAGTTCCACCTCATGTGGGAAGGGGCCACACTAATCATGTGCGATAGGCCAAGAGCAAATGCGACAGGGATTCTGGGTGAATTGTTTGGGTCCCCATTTGGTGATGTTTCCCAAACATTTAAGGCTTATGAAGAAACAGGAATCATTGGAAACGGAAAAGAAAAGCACAGCTTCACTCTGGGAGTGAAGATAAAGTAAAAAATGTGGTCAGTGTAGTAGCTCACCATGACTTGAAAGAGAGAGTCAGCACCAAGTGGGACTGTGCTTAATGAGTACTACCATACATCTTATTCAGATGGGCTGCACTAACCTTTCCTTGCTGTATGTTCCCATCAGTGTTTTTGGCACCGGGGGAAAGTGTTGGAGCTTGCTCCAGGCTTGCTAAGTCCTGGCCTGGTGTTGCAGTGCCTCCAGGCCCAGTGCTCACTCTCTCCCTGGTGAAGCAACTACCTGTTTTTTGTGGGGCCTTTGAAAAAAAAGGTTCCATCAGCATGTTTGCCCAATATAGGCCATGTGTTCTATAGTCACACTCAGTGTTGGCTGCATTTAATCAATTTCATAATATTGTTTCACCTAACGTTATCCTGAAGTTGTACTTTACTTTGAACTACAAGGTAAATCAGATGCCTGGCCCAAGACTGCATGACTTACTCTAAAGTCAATTAAGCAGGCTCACTCTATCCCCCGACATCATAAGTGTATTCACTAACTTCCAAAATTTAAATAACATCCATCACTTGGCTTAGCTACTAAGGGTGGCTATGAGCCATTCTTCAGTTGACATCTCTGGTAGGAGTAGAGTAATGAGAAACAGACATTCCACAATATAGTATAAGCACATGATTTAAATGGGATTTAAATAGCAAAGACTACTGATTCAGAAAAAAACAGAAACCTAGAAAGAACAACTAAAAATCTAATGGAGAAATCCAGAGAAATATGTTGGTCTTTGCAGGAATTTAAGGAATAGAAAGTAAGATGTACTATACCATATGTACCCAAGTCCATGATGACTCTGAATTTAAGACAACCCCCCGCCCCAGTAATTAGATTCTATACATGGAAAAAGTATAAGTTTATGATTTTCCATGTACAGAATCTAATTATTAGAGGGTTATTTTAAATTCATCCCCACCACTGTTGCAGCACAGAAAGCAGTGGCAGGGGGCAGAAAGTGTGTGTGTGTGGGGGGGCAGGTGGTAAGGAGGCACTGGGGGGTGGGAGGTCAAGCAACCTGACACTTGTCCTGCCATACCTTGCCCCTTGCTGGCAGTCATCCCCACTACTTGCCTGCCCCCAAACTGCCTTTGTGTCCCCCACAACCTCTACCTCCCCACCTCCCCACAGAGCTTCTACCTCCTTGCCAGCCCCACTCACATGACTATCATTTACCCTTGCGGCGGTGTGGTAGCTCTGGCTGGGCCTTGCAGCTGGGGCCAGAGCTGCCACACTGCCACCTCTGCTACCAAGCTGGACTGGGACCCATGCTCAGTGCCCTGGGATGGAGTGGGGTAAAGGGTAAGCAGTGGGGGCAGGGAAGGAGACAGGAGAAAGGGCTGCAGGGAGCTTGAGGCTGCATGTGGGGGGCCTGGCAGAGAAGGCAAAAGCAGCAGGGGGTGGAGGTGCAGACAGCAGCTGTGGCTCCATCCCCAACCTGGGGTCGGAGCCAGAGGCAGAACAGTTTGCCTTCCCCACACTACCTTGTACTTGAATCTAAGATGAGCTCCCCTCATGTTAAATGGGGATAAACCCCCTGCCCTTTGTCTCAGATCTGAATAAATATAGTATCGTGGTAGTTTCAAAGAGTTAGCAATGCAGTTTGTTGATACTTAAATGCATCTAATTCAGTGAGATTAAGCCCAGTCATAGCTGTATAAATTTAACAGTTGCAACAATTCCACATTTCTTTTCACACTTGTTATAGAGTTATCAAGAGATTGTGATTTTAACCGCATTTTCTTCCGACATGGTGCATTAACAATATATATTTAATAGTTATTCATAACCACTGACAGCTCATATCATTATCCTTTTAACACTCTGTTCTGACTTGTACCATAACAACAATATTTCCATTAAATTGGAGACAGGACGTCTGCTAAGTGCCAGATACTTCACTATAAATGGTCATTTTCCTGTAGTTGCCTATGCATGCTATAAAATACTAAACCAATTTATATGTACACACCATGGATCCTATAACAAAATTACGATTACTACTCCTCCAGACCCAAATCTAACAGTTAATTAAAAGCATAATTTTAAGATTTTAAATTTACACTGCATGTACATATAGTCTCAGTTCACAAAGCTACACACTAAACACGTTTAAAATGAGAACGGAAGCTTTCTTTTGCAATGATGTAGACTGCAACTTCTGCAACACAGCTGCAAGCCCCATACATTCTAGCACCAAAAGGTAAATGGAGAGCATTTCACACAAGGTTTGCTTGAAAAAAGTTCAAAGCCAGCAATGCAAATATGCAATAAAAGCACTAAGTTGACTTAAAAAAAAGTTAATGTTACAAGTGATTCGGTTATGAAAAGCTTTGCACTTCATCTTGATCTTGGAAGCCTTAATCTAAAGTAAATGAATTGTTTTCATACACAATTTACAAAAAAACCCACCATACTTCAGAGATCTCAACCTTACAGCAAAGAAGCAAGTAAGCATGTGGGAAATGAGCTTATACATTTGTAACAGACAAGGAATTTAAGAGAGAAGTAAAGAAGCATCTTCACAGCTTTAAAATTATATAGAACATTGCATCAATAGATGTAATACTTATGTTTATAAAGTATGCCCTTACAAATCAACCAACTACAAGACAAATCTATTCCTTTTCAACAATGTATAAAAAAAGATAGTCCTGTATGGATGAGTTATCCCCTTTTTCCATTCCCTAAGTGATCTCCTACAGTCATTTAGTCCAGCCCCCTGCTTCAGGCAGGATTACCCGACTAAAGTCATCCCAGCCAAGTGTCTTTCTAACTTGCTTTTGACAACTTCCAATTGATGGGGATTCCGCAGTTTCTCTAGATAGTCCGTTCCAATGCTTGTCCATCCTCAGTCTGAAAGTACCTCCGAATCTTCAGCCTCAAATTCTCCTGCTGGGGCTTGAGGCCATTGCTTCTAATCCTGACCCCAATGGGCACAGAGAAAAGCCCATCTCCATCTTCCCTACAAATCACCCTTCAGGTATATGAAAACTGATAGCAAATCCCCCCTCAGTCTTCTTCTCCAAACTAAATAACCCTAGTCTTTCAGCCTTGCCTCAAAAGTCTTGCCTCCCAGGCCTAATACTTTTTGTTGCACTGTGCTGGGCTCTTTCCAAACCATCTACATTCTTCTTGAAGTGTGGGGCCAAAATTGGACACAATAGCCCTGGTGAGACTTCCCCTGGAGTAAGTAGAGCAGAAGAATCGTTTCCCTTGATTTAACACTCCTGTTAGTGCAACCCAGTATGCCATTGACATTTTTGCAGCAAGAGCACACAGCTG